TTCTTCCGCGGACTACTTATTAATGAATAGTAGTGATACGTCTCTGCGAATGAGCTGCAAGCTGTGATACCGAGTAAACAAAACAAAAATACGTCAGATCAGTTAGCATTCATTTAATCCTCCCTTATTCGCTATCGCTATCGATGACGCAGACTCTTCTCCGTTTTGACTGATGTGTGGCTGTGACTCCTGAAGTGTTTTCAAAGTTGGAGTTGTGGCCAAAACTGATAGTACAGACGGTGAATAGAGATCCAACATGGCCAATAGACGGTACGTCTGTAATGGAAACGTTTATATTTGTGACTATCATAAGGACAATTCAATCTTAAACAACTGTTTTGTTTAAAACAAAAGTTATAAATCACGTCTGATTGCATATAATAAAAACGCTTTATACGTACCTGGATTTGGTAGTCATATTTGCGGTGGCATGGGGGACGGTTTCGCCTAGGGTTTGGGTGACATCAAGGGTTCCTCACCTGACACCTGCTGGTTACCTAAAGTAAAGAAGGAAATTGACATCTTTTAATTGATACACATATTCGTTACATACTGTGGTCAAGAAATATTCAGTCGAAGCATGGCTTACCTATACGTACTGTGGCTCGGTGGGAAGGACGCATTGTAGGGAATAAGGCTTCAGGTGGAATCAATATTTTTAGGTCACCTGAGCTTTAGCTCAAGTGACCTATTGCTATCCGTCTTCGTCCGTCGTCGTCCGTCGTGCGTCGTGCGTCGTCCGTTAACATTTTTACATTTTCAACTTAAGCTGAAATACTGGCAAAGGGATTTCATTAATATTTCATGGGAAGATTACTGATATCTCCCTGACCAAGTGTTCGTAGTTTTCGGGTCGATCAGAAATCCAATATGACCACCACAGCCGCCATTTTGACAAACTATTTCAAACTTAAAGTCAAATTCTGCTAAGCCGATTGAACTGAAACTTTGTAGGAATGATCGACTCATGGTCCTGACAAAGTGTTGTTATTTTTCGGGTCGGTCAGAAATACAATTTGGCTGCCATGGCCGCTATTTTGAAAATACCTATTTCAAACTTAAAAACAAGTTCTAATTGGCCGATCTAACTGAAAATTGGTCTAGGAATGATCAGCTCATGGTCCTGACAATTTTTTTTACTCATAATGGTACATATTTCAACAACAAAAATAAATACTGTAGGACTCAGGTTACCGTTTAGGCCCATGGGCCTCTTGTTTCAGCTTGTAAGTGGTTATCAGCTGTGAAATTAAAAGTGAGCGTTAACAAGTTTCAGATCTTTTTCAAGTCAATGGCAATCAATTAAGATCCTCCGAGTAAGTAAGTTCAAGTAAGATTTTTGTTTGTTTGTTTGTTTGTTAAGTTTTCTATAAGCTAATAATTATAATTTTACCTGCTGTAGCTGTGTAGGGAGGGTGCATTGAAGAGTACGCAGGTACATGTGGATGCTTTCCGTAAAATGGGAACAGTGTGGGTCCTGGCCAGAATGCAGGGAATGAAAGAACTATATGATGGCGGAACTTGGTAGACAGGGTGTTGATAATTGATAGTCGAAGGTGTTTCCTCAGAAGCTGTTGATGTACGGTCACCAGAGAGAGTAGATCCAACAGACAATTGGTTAGACATTTGTTGTTGTGTTTCCAAAGAGTTCTTGGAGCATAAATTTAAAGTATTCACATTTGTACGGCAAGAATGCTACACCACCTTTGTGCAATCAAACAAGCATTCAACAATTTTATTCGCCTTTCCTCCCTGATACTGCTGTTAGTTTCTTACCAGATACGTTGCCCTTTTTTGCCATTTCTGGATCGAGTGATCTTATTTTGTTCACAACCAAGGTACAAGGTACTTCTGCATACCATACAGCCTTTTAAGGGTTCTTGATGATTGTCAAGTAAAAAGGACTCTCATCTGATAACATAGCAGCTTGCCTTTTACTGCGATATTCCTTGTAGGTCTGGACTGGACGCCTGATTGGGTCTGCTGGAACTGCCCAGGCTTTCATCACATATGGTTTCCAGTTCGATGGGTCAGAGCCTGAAATTTAAACCTATCGTTTTAACAAAATGGTCGTTTCATCCCTACTGTACATTTACAAATTATTGAAATATCAGAATAAATTTGTTAACTACTCTATTGTATAACATCTGATCAATTGTGACTATTTTGTCATGATTTGAATCAGTTTTTCCACAAACAATTCATTATTTTCAAAATCTTAAATAAACATACCTGTTCTGGTGTTTTTCTGACGCTCACTGGTGTGTTTCAAAACATCCCGACCATTTAAGTTCTTCAGTGTAATGTCTCCCCATCTTCAGTTGTAGTGTTCTGTTGCTCCTCTTAGTCCAAGTTGTTCATAAATATGTAAGTATAATGTTTACGCATGGCTTTCTGAACCTTTAGCTGCTGTTTGTCTTCTGATGTTAGTGGATCTGATGCATTGTGAAGGTTGACTTTTCCTTGCTTCTTCAGTTGGATAAGCTTGGCCTTCAATGTGTCTTGTAAGTGTTTAAATTCTATGTCTTTACTAATGCCCTTGTTGTACTTCTTCCCTTTAAGGAATCTTTTGATCATTGATGCATGGCCAAGTAAAGCTGAAGCCTCATAGTCTTTACCTGCCCCAGATTTACTCTTTCTAATTCCGAGGTAAAACTCTGCCAACTACATGTCTAGAGTCCTACAGTCCAAAGCCTGTATTTCTTTATCTTTTAAAAATGTTCACTGAAGTCATCATCTTCCTGACAGTGTTCCTGTTCTGTGTAATAGCTATAATAGCTGTCTGGCCAGCTTCGTTGTTTCTCAAAAACTTTCCCAAAAAATATTTTTGGCTCCTCTGTGTGATGATTTCTTCATCCAGTGTCATTTGTTTGTTTTCTTTTACATTTGCATCTTCAATACTAAGCAGATCTTTCAATCGGTATCATTAAGTGACATGAAGTCTGACAGTTGCAGTGCCATTCTAACTCGTACGAACAGACGAACAGATCAGACGTAGTAAAATTGACCTCATAGTAAAGTTGATCTCGTAGTTAAATTGACCTTTGATATACGGAAAAGTAGTTCCGGTGCATGACGTCACCAGGCGCGAGCAGACATTCTTTTTTGAAAAAATACGTTCCCAAGTGCTGAGAAATGGGAAAACCCGGTCCCTAGTTCTTCTCAAGTTGTTCTCAAGTTGTTCTCAAATTTTTCTTGAGTTTTCTCTTACTGACAAACCATGATAATAATCTTATCATGCTACCGGTAGGTGGTATAAAGTATATAAAGTATTCTCACCAATGTGCCATTGTACACTTGTCATGTCCCGTAAGGGGACAACGTAAAATCCTCTGGTACAAAATAGTATGGGTTTATCGCCCTTAGTCCTATCGTCCTGAGCGACATGCAAAACAACGAACGTGTCGCGGTACATACGGTCGTAGTTATAGTCATTTTGATTCAAATGTATGTTGTGCATTTTCTTAAAGTAGCGATATTATTCAAATATCTAATGAAAAAAATTACCATTATGATTTTTTGATACGTGAAGTTGTCAACATGGAAACCCCATCACAAAACAGATAAAGACCTCAGATCGCTAAATCTCGTTCGCTTGAGGTACAACATGACATGGATACAGCAGACTTCTTTCAGCTATACTATAGCAACTTTTCATGTTCAGTATAATCCCTATGTACTGCAATACAATTAATAAAGACCGATTTCATTACATCATCCCGTGGTTTGTCAATATAATGACTTAAATATCAGCAGCAACTATGGATTTACCACTGGAGCCGTATTTTCTTCACACTATAGCTTGGATTTCAATTTGGAACATGATTCTTAAGTGATCAGGTTTACTCGAGAATACATTAAAAGCTCACTATTAAGAATTGTTTTACCAATTAAGACACTTTTAACCTTAGAACCACTGATACGTCCTGAAAGGATGAAATAGAAATGTGGTGCACTAAATGCATTTGTTGTTAGGTTTTCTGCAGCTAGTTACTTAATATATATCAGGCCAAGATGACGGCCGTGACCTTGTTATAAGAATTATGTTTATTTACACGGTAAAAATTAAATATCAGTTAAAATTACCTTGTATCTGTTGTAGCGAAATGCTGTAACATTTGTCACACTATCAATTAATATTTTCACCTTTTGCCTTTCTATTGTTTTTCTAATTATGTTTCTGTTATCCCCTAGAAAGTGAATTGAACTTTGACCTTTAGTACCAGTGTTACTTAAATGACGTAGTGACCTTACGGTACAGTGTATGCTTACTTAGTTTGGCTAACTGCATAGAATAGACTTACTCAAGTTATAAATATGTGCATCCTTACTTTATATTTCTAGTGATTACTTATAGAGTGTTCTATACATTGTACTTATCACTATTTTAAAGCACAACATGGGATATCTCATTCTCAAATTGACACGTGGTAATACTCGATCTTTTACATACATGTAACCGTTTTGTGAGTAAGCGTATTACCTCTCAAAACGCAACAAGCACATACTTTGAGTTTGACCTTTAATCCAGGTATTTTGAAAAATGTACTGAATGAGTAACGCCTGTTTGAGCAGTTTCAAACTTGTCCTGTGAAGAATACCCTTACAGAATTAAACGGATGTACACGTAGGTCATTAAGATACAGGTAAGACAATCAGGTAAGAGTACAATTTACGCATCAGCTATTAACCCTTTCACCCCTATGTAACTTCAGTAGACTCTACCATGCATTGATCTGGATGAGTCCATTATGGTCTACAGCGTTGAAACAATATAGTATCACGATGAATGAGTAAGTGTACATGTAGTTGGACCACTGTCAGTCAGGCAATTAGATATTCATAATTATTAAGAATCAAACAACAATAAAAAATGTACATATTAAACACAAGGAGAATATACATATCTAAGAAATGATAACAGAAATAAAATAATGAAAATTTGAACATCCTTCGGTGATCGGCCTAATGCCCTATTTTTCATTTGACAATACTTATACCTGCTATGCTAGCCGTCATAAAGCAGGCTACATTCCCGGTTATCATTGCGCTGATCACTAAGGAAGAAACATCCGACTTCCGAGACGGAACCAGCGCACCGAGTGCTCCCAGCATTATTCCCAGGGAACTGACGTTTGAAAATCCACACAAGGCATATGTCGAAATAACTATTGATTTATCCTGTAAATAAGTTATTTTATGAATTAGCATTTTGAAAACGCAGAAGAAACAAAATATACACAAAGCATACGTCTACCATAGTGTTGGCATAAAGGAATGGGTTCTTCACCGCCATTACTGGTCTATACATTTTCATGATGTAACAAGAAAATGCAGCAAAGCTGCTGGACACCAAATCTTTTTATGAAAATGACTTACTGACAGTCCAACAACTTCGAGGGAACGGATCCTGCATACTTGATTCTATAAAATTATGATTATATAAATTGTTAATGGCATTAATTTTGTCGTTCAGAATATTGCGTTCACGCTCAATCAATATCCATCTATTTTGCTCTATATTGCACTTAATAATTGTACCACAGCACGCAAATGTACAGTTTTAACCGCACGTTTAGGCCTAAATGTCAACGATATGGTAATAAAGTCATCTTCTGAGAGAGAGAAGCCGAGACATAAGATGATTTACATAAAATATCATTTATGACTTTTGTCAAAATCGCAGCGTTTTTGCAAATATTTCTTTGGCAATGGACTTATTGGTCTATTGGATAAAATATCAACCGTCTTCTTAGTTAAATCTTCAATCGTAGCCCTCGCTCCTTTGAATAATTGTTATTACCTCTCGAGACTGCTACGAAAACACATTTTGCCACAACTCTGGTTTATTGGTTGTTATCACATGTTCGTTTTATACAAGTGAAATCAATATATCGTATTGAACGGGAAAACCATTCCTATTTCTTCCATTTTTTTCACGTCACGCGGCACAATTATTGCTACATCAGAGAAGCACGGGAATGTCCAGCGCAGTTTTTGACGTCAAGTTGTAATGACGTCACGCTTGACAACAATACAGAGCGCCATTTTGAATGGATTTTCACTGCAATTTTGCCGTTTGCTAGTATTATCTGGTAAGTTTTCCAGACAAAAAATATGTTTATTGTGTAGTTATGTAAAAACAATAATGTATGCTGATAAGGTAGACAACACAGCCACTAATTCTGCCGTCACTTCATCTAAACTTGAAACTGAAAATCTACGCAGAGAATGTAATGCACCGTTCAGATTGGACAATACTGAGAGTGACGTTTTTTCTTGTGAAAATATAATGTTTTGTTCATCTTCATTGCATTAAAAATATGTTTTTTTATCAAATGGAGAATTCAGTATATTTCACTAATAAACTGTAATAAATACCGATACCGTAAGTGGTTACCATCATATTTTAATGGACAGTATGTGACCTCAATTTCCCAGAAGGCTTTCACGTATGGGGAAGCACCGGAAGTGGACAAAGTGTTTACAGATCAAACCCAGGTCGCGATTCGCGCCGCTTGGAGGTTTGAGAAAAATGTTAAATTAACATATAAATAACATTAAAACAGACTTACAGACATTACTCCTTTTTGCAGGGTTATATTCATTTCCTTGTATACAATGTTCTCTCCCGAGAAATACCATTCAGATACGTCACTTCCGTTGGCAACCCATGACGTCATGTTTCGCATTCTTTTCTCATACCATGTTAAGTTGTGCTTGTTATTTATGTAAACAGAGAGTTCTGTATATGCTACAAGTTCATTGATAAATATTTTGGTTCCAATCATTTCCGCCACTTTACGGCAATCGGCGACGTCAACTCCCATCATCGCGGCAATAGGCCAAAACACATAGGAACATACAAACTGGAACAGTGAAAGGATTTTTTTTAAAGTAAATAACAAAGGCTTTACACATTAGGACAATACAGGAATAAACATTTTAACAATGAACATCCAGGAAACTCCAAACTACCATGAAATATAAGTTGAATTCCCTTCATTGCTCAAATGCAGACGATATCTTTCAACTTTATTCTAAAATGTGACAGAAATGTGCTTACAGACGTAGTCATCTACTGTCTATCAAGGAACAAATCTTCTGGACCTCTAACTGGTCACTTATAAAACGAGACGTGTAATAGAGGAAACAGGGACAGTCTGAGATAAAGGTGTTAAGCATGTCCCTTAAAACTGTTGTACGTATATAAATCACATGACATCTTTTAGATCCCTTATAAAGGTGATCAAGGGACGTAAATAAAACTGATACGGGAAAGTGTATCAAATGACATCTATTAGATCCCTTATAATGGTGATCAGCGGACGTACATACAACTGATATGGGAAAGTGTGTCATATGACACCTATCATATTCCTTATAATGGTGATCAGGGGACGTACATACAACTGATATGGGAAAGTGTGTCATATGACATCTATTAGATCCCTTATAATGGTGACCAGAGGAAATACATAAAACTGATATGGGAAAGTGTGTCATATGACATCTATTAAATCCCTTATAATGGTGACCAGAGGACATACATAAAACTGATATGGGAAAGTGTGTCATATGACATCTATTAAATCCCTTATAATGGTGACCAGAGGACATACATAAAACTGATATGGGAAAGTGTGTCATATGACATCTATTAGATCCCTTATAACATAATGGTGATCAGAGGAAATACATAAAACTGATATGGGAAAGTGGGGCCATATGACACCTATTCGATCCCTTATAACTGTAATCAAGGGACGTACATAAAACTGATATGGGAAAGCGTGTTAAGGACAATTATATCTATTGATACTTCCAAACAATAGTGCCATGACTCGTTACCCTGATCATCTAAGATTTCAGACGGTGATGTACTAGTTAGTGGCATTTAGCTAACCGCTAACCTGAAATGTTAGTCTCTCGTACTCTGGTGGTTCTAGTCCGACTCTGGCTCCAAACCAAGCCAAAGTGGCGTTGACAAACTCAAGCATAGCAATGAATGCGATCATGTTCACTGCGATGTTTGCTATGAGTTTGATGGACTGGGATGCGCCATTTGAAGCTGCCTCGATCACATTTCTCTCTGGACTAATTTATACAGGAACGGGAAAATAAAATAGAAGTTACAATCAGTTGTATATCAATCATCTGTGAAGCGCTGTATACCTGATCAGTGTTGATATTATGACTGGGACACAGAGTGATTGATGAATGTGGAAGGTTTTAATTCATCCTTAATGAAATCCATAAATGATAAAATTATTTATGTCTAAAACATAATAAAGAATGTTTTGAAATCATGTCTACATATACATATGAAATATGTTATGAACTGAACTGACATTATTTCCATCTGAATAGTAAGAAGAAAACAAACTACTTCCCACTTGAGAATAAAATGTCGATAATGACGTGTGTCATTGATATGTCCTAACTTTTGTTCTGTAGGTCGCGACCACCTGGGATACACTCAACTGACATGTATATTCTAGGGTTTAAATAATTACATCATTGTTTTTGTTTTATGGGGAAATTTGACGTAATTTCGACCTTGGAATATTTTGAGTACGATGATAGAGATTCCCTCCCCCTCCCCCCTCATTTTGGCTGTAAAATTGGTGCCTCTGTCCTCACCTGTCTGCATCCAAACCATAATGGAATTTATTTCTTGTTGTGTTTTGCTCGTTTGGTATACGAAAAATGTAATATTTGACAATTAATTGTCTGATGGAAGATTTTATGGGAGGTAAAATAAATTAGTTTTCAGATAACTGTGTCGTTTACTCTCTACGTGATATTGTAAGTATGACGTTATTGTTTCCTGTTTTTAGATTACATTGGTGTATAGCTTTGAACCTAGTTACCCTTTGTCCATCTGGTATACTTTGTTAGGGTGAACGCGTGGTCGATCTGTCTCTGGATAAATCAGTTTGGACATCGCTAACGCTGCAGGCGCGGACATGACAGATGCTGAGAGGAGGTGATTAGCGGGCACCTGTTGAAATATAAACATATTTAAATACATATAAACTACCTTACATGAAAGAGACTTTTTTGTTTTGTTTTTCTTTGAGGATATACTCCCTGACGATCAGAGTATTTGTCATTTAGAATGTGCATTTTTCCATGTAACGCTATAAATTCATTTTAAATTATTTGCTAACGATTTAAACAAAAATATAGTATATCTACCATAGATTTAAAGAAAAAGACAACAGCACATATCTGAACCTGTACAAAAACTGTAGGGTAAAGTGTATTTAAAAACGTTAAAAAATGGTATAAAACAATTTGATCGTTCAGGTAATGTATTAAAAATATACTAAAATATTTGTTATTATCCGATAGCGGGCCTCTCTAGGAACACTAATTGACCTTTATCCTCTACTTCTGAGACCAATATCTTACATTTTTTTCACATATATCTACATTTTACAGAAATATGTTGACGGCTTAGTCCAAACTTATAAAGAAACAGATATTCCGACAGAAACGAACGACCTACGGAAAACATAATTTCTTGATTGCCTTATGATACAACTTAACGAGATCCTACGTTTTTAGTTCGTTTGCAAAAAGTGTCATCTAGAGGAATATATAATAGAATCAAAAGAAATTCCACATGATGTTGTACCACGCATGTTGTATACATAAAATAATGATGTATGCTTAAACAATAAGAGAAGAGAATACCGAAGTGTCAACAAAACCATTATTCGGACTCGAAGGAAAAAGTACACAGAGAAGGGCAGACGTATTTTGCTTCATTGACGACACCCGCCATGTAAATCCAAGTCGAATTCAAACAATGTCACGTCCTCACATCGATAACCCAGGCAGTGACAACAAAACCACAAACACATCTTATGAGCATAATAAAAAATCATCGACCGTCATAACATATTTCCTTGCGAGATCCTGATGGCGACAATAAAACCTGTCCATCAGCTTGCACCTTTGGAAACCCGTGTGTTGTTAGTTTGTCCGTCCAACACATTCATCATACATGGAGATCAAGCTGTTACATACCGAATCCACTACGACATATAAACACCCTACATATTACTATCAAGGAAGGGAAAGTTACCGATCAGAAAGTTGGAATCGTCCCGCTTATCATATTTTAGCCTTTGACCACTAACTAGCCAAATTGATATGATATAATATCAGATATTCATGGCTTTTGTTTGTTTGATTGTTTGGGAAACAACGTCCTCGCAAAAGCCATGATCAAATGGGGACGGGATAATGCTGTGGGTGTATTTTGACAAAGGAGTAGATTGGTCCGAAAACTAAACTGCCATTGTCAGTACAGAAAAGGAATTAATAGCGGCATTGCAAATAAAGAAAGTCGGCAAATTTCTGAGGCAGTCCGTTCCTTTATCAGGAAAAAAAAAACCGCACTTCATATCACAACATATAACGCCGAGAATGCAGTTCCTATGGAACAGTTTTGTATTACAAAACATATAACATAAACCCAGTTATCACTGAATTAGTATACTGATGGTAACGCTTCTATCAATATTGGAATATTATTGGGTACTGTGGAAGACAACACCAGACATTGGTCAAAACAGGAGCATGCTGAAATGAGTTCACATTCAGAGTTGGTCAAATTCATCAGGTCAATTACTAAAAAAATAAAAAAAATATTAAATGCTTGAAACCGACAGTGCAAACAACTAAAGATTGCATTTCTTGACTCCAATGTCCAAATCGCACTCAACTATCTACATGGTAGGTATGCAGTTGTGTCTACAGGCAAAGCAAATGATAATTTTATCTTTGTCTGCAAACACACTATTATACTAACCTGCTTGCAGAAATAACTAGGAATTGCTAAAAAAAACAAGAACCCTACCCATACCTTTTTTTGAAGACGAAGTAAAGGCAAATAATGCTTCTTTATTACAACCTTTCCGATTACGCACTAAAGATGAGGATACGGACCTGCCTCGTTTGTATTCGATTCCAAAACTTCCCAGAAATCCTTTCAGACAATGTTTAATCGCTGTCTCTATTCTAGTTGCTCAACAAAGTCGTTATTCAAACTTGTCACTACCATTCTCAGGACCATTAAATCGGGGCTGCAGTTATATTCTGTTACTGTATACTTAAGAACTGAAATGATGGGTACAAGGATTTTAGGAATTAACGGTGTGTTGATGTTGAAGAATGAAAAAAGCTCTCTTGATCAATTGTGAACATCCTCTGCTCAAAAATGTTTCTTCTATCAAAACTAAGTGAAGATGGACGGAGTTGATATTGCGATTGATATGCCAAGAAACCGTCTGAAACTGGTATCTGACGAGCCAACTAGGCCTAATGTTACAAGGAATACCAACAAAATTATGCTAATAACTGTTCATAGACATAAACAATCTGTAAATAATTACAGTCACAAGATCATTTTGCGCATATTATCCGTCCCTTTAGGGACCAAGGCTTTCGCCTCAATACAATATCAACAGAATCAGTTGACTCAGACCTGTAACAACACCGTGACTCACAAACACGGCCTCATCAGTGAATATTCTCGGAGGACTTGATTACCACAATGTTTGGTGGGAATGGGTATACAGGACACCACTTCCACATCAATGTTGTTCCAAAAGAGGACAACACCAGGCATCCAGGAGCCATTAAACCAAAAAGAATCGTTTCAGACAAGGACAGTGACTAGTCCGGCTGGGAAACATGTGCGACCGCGATTCTGGAACTGCGCGCGCTATGACGCGGCTAACTTGCATCACAAATAACCAACACGTATTTTCGATGAAGGAATGCAAAGTTAAACAAAAACTGACAATTTAAATAATAAAATGAGTTGAAGCTACTGTCAAATATTGTACAGATTTGGGAACGATTTTAAAACTGATGTTTTGTCAATTTTTTACGTCATATGTCACATTCGTTTCCATTTTGTATGAGATTTATGAAACTTGTACAGCCGCGCAAAATGAAAACATTCTCAATTCGTTTCATAAATATCACATCAAACTTAGACGAATTTGAGATTCACTATATATGAGTGACGTGCTTTTTTAAATGTACGATAAGGAGGAGGTCGACCTTTCTATCTTGATAGCAACATCCCTACAAATCAACATATGGTGTTAACATATCGCAGTTGATTTGGTACACAAGAGTGTGCTTCAAATATCATGACTTCCAAGAAATATGTCGATTGCTAGCAAAAAACTTACAACAACGGATCTCCAAAGTTGCAGGCTGATAAAAACTATGTTTCACGGTCGCCATCAGGATCTCGTTGGAAAAATAACCTATATATTTGTATGGTATGATTTTTGTTTGTTTGGGGTCTAGCGTCCTCGATACAGCAAAGATCGTATGAGGACGGGTGCCTAGGGAGATAACTCCTGAAACAGGAAGTAGAGAGAAGAGGAAAAAGACAGGGAAGATAGAATAAGAGAAAGATGCGAAGTGCTACAATCGAGGTAGCAGATCAATTTTGGTCTCTTCCACGTGTCCGTCGCAGGAAACGCAGGTGCCCTAGGTTTTTTTTATCGATTATGAGTTAGAATTATGGTCTTGTTAACGCTCCGGTGTTCTTTTTGTTTTTATGACTGTATGTTTATGTTTATACATTTCACATACAATGTACACCATAAAATACTAGAAAAATATAAGTATCGAGTTCAAATGTATTTTCGTCTATCTTGGAGCTCTACGATCACATTACACATACCCTGTTCAGCCACAGCTAAAATATACAATTTTGGGGCAATACATATTGGAACTAAAAGTGTAAAACGAAAAAACCCCCAAAAGTGTATATTAGAATATGGCAAATGACGATAAGATGTTCCTAAAAGTAAATCCGTTTTTTTGAAGGACTTGCACTTTAGGTTAAATGTATTTTAGAGAGTGTTCCATATAAAGATCCCGCTGCATACTCTTTGTTAACCATGTGAAGTTCTAAATAATGATTTACGATGACGCAGAGTGAATACGTCAGCACTTCGCCCTCTTTAAACTTTGAGCAAAAATAACATCCTTAGCATGATTCTAAAACAAGTTTGAAACACGTCATACATTAAAAATAGATTAAAAACTGAGAACGTGATATTAAACCGCCCTTGTCTGGAAAACCACACGTGGATACAGGAGAGCATTATGGCAAAGTAGGATATTTTCAGTTTTCGTTTTAAAGTGAATCTCGCGTTACCGAAGGTTTTTCCCAAAGTTATGACGAGATTTTAGTTACGTGGTATTATAATGCGGCGCTATCAAAAACGTAAAGTATAACAGAGTAAGTTTAAAAAAAATATGTTTTTAGTGATTGTATTGGTTGTTTGAGGCATGTTATGTATGTTCATCTTGTGCATAAAGAATAGATATTTCGATCCATGTGCGACATGTGTGTGAAAGTGACTATTTGTTTCTAAAATGTCAGTTTGAAGAGCGATCCTGGCGCGGGTCGCTTATTTCCCGGATGTTATAGAGGGCCGGAGTTCTGACGTTAATCGACGCAGACCGATATTAAAAAAAAGTCGATAAAATGTCAGAATAATTCGGACTACATGTAATGGTCGGGTGTTTATCATTTTACATCGGTTAGAGCGAGCCTTTGTACCAATAGCGAAGAACAAGACGGTGACGCAAGTAATACAAATTATTGTACACTTTATGACCTAACGTTAATATCTTAAAACAAAGACATACGTCATCTTTAAAAAACGATCAGACTACTGGAGAAAAAGTATACAGTATGATATTGGATATAAACATTGATCTCCTCTCAAACTGGAAACCCTTAATCCACATAAACAGGTTGAAAAAAAGAATATAGGCGTGTCTACAAAGCGTTATCTGACACTTTTCCTTGTTAACATAAAATTTTACACAATTTGTTGGAAACCTTTCCTTTTTAATGCAAATTAATTATTTATCGCCATAAAGCTATTATACTCAAGTTCATTTATTTTACAACAATTTATGAAACAAAGTTCTATGAACGTATATTTATCACGCTTTTAGCCCGTACGATGTACATTGCATGCAACAACAATATATTTGTCTTTAGAAACAGTTCTTGTTAAAACTTATTTAAGTACCTGCTATAACGTGAATAAAATGATTAATGCTGTTATTAATTTCGCTCACGTTTATCAGAATGTACGCCGCCATGACTGTACCGGCAATGGTGGCGAAACCCCCCGTCAGTACGGCGTGTAGCTCCGAGTTCGTCATTTCCGGGAGGAACGGCTTGATTAACAGTGGAGCCTCGCTCTGAAATTAGAAATGACTAAAATAAGCAAAATATAAACATCCGGAAGCTTTAGAGTTCAACATATTCCTAGCTCTGGCCAAGTTAAAACTATGTAAACGATTGTATTACTGTTTAGATATTTACAGTATCAACATTTTCATGTTATATGCTTTGCGTGTAAATGCGTGTTTAATTAGTGCCGTTTAAGAATGATACGGCATGTCCTTCTATACAAACAAACCCCTGCAGGTGGGGGATCGGGAAAGAATACACCTGCTGGTACCCAATGCATGTATCGTATGAGAGGACTAATGGGGGAACCCTAGGCAGAATTGGGGATTTGCTTTGATATACACAAGCTACCAAAATAAATCTTCTGCGCTTAATGCAATATTTGGGATCTTTATCTTCCTTTCTACTTCTAACAACCTTTTATTTCCTATCGCCTTGCTTGGCAACACCTCACTTTTGGCTTAAATGTTGAGCGGTCACCTAGGGGAGGAAGGCAATGGGTTCTGTCCCTAGGCCGGGACATACTAAAGTCCTTAAATATGGTAGTTGTTACTCCCTGCTTAACGTTCAGAAATTGAAACACCTGATTCACCCGTTGTCAGTATAATGAGACCAGTCGGGATGCTGTGCTTGGTGCCTTCGGCATGGCATTTGCACTATAAAGTCGGCATCAGATCCGCGCTATCACAAGGAGGCAAACACGCCAACATACCCTGTCTCCCACATGCATACACGCAAGCACGCATACACTACACACATGGAGGCACGATCTTAAATGACCTTAGCAGTTAATAGAACGTTAAACAAAAATAAACCAAACCAAACCATTCAATTTAACAGCATTGCCTATTTTGTCAGTTCATTTAATTTTAATGTTTATTGGTGTTTAAATCGCGTCATCAATGGGGATTCATATAATTTCATATGAATTAAAACATTTAGCGACTGACATTGTAAATACCAGTAATTCACATTGACATTATATACAGGTTTTAAAAAGTGTACATGTACATAAATGTCTTAAATTGTAGTTGTATTTTTACATTATATACAGGTTTTAAAAAGTGTACATGTACATAAATGTCTTATTAGGTATTTCCATTTCGGATGGAAACCCCTATTGTTTTCGTTATGATTTTTCTTATTCTCATTAGGGATTTCCAATTCGGATGGAAATACCTATAATTGTTGTTTCCACAAATATTGTTAACAGTTAAATCTCATGAACGAAAACAGATATAACGTTCATATTTCAGTATGTAATACAGGACATCGATCTTTATTTTTTTCAATCATGATCATAATGTTAACGGTCCAGTTTACAGATCTTTAGATAGAGCATTTTTTAACGTTTTTCGAACGATCATAACTTCATAAGCGTTTGTTGTATTGCATGAACGCTTAATTCTTCTTGTAAATCTTCGTTAAGGTCTCGCTATGGGTTCAAATATAGGTCAAAAATAAAAAATAAATAAACAACACATGTTCTAATGAAGATACTGTGAAAGTTTCAATGTCATAGCATTGAAATTGACGAAGATATGCCACTTTGAAAAATGTTCATTTTCCCGCCAAAAAACATATTTTTCAAAAAATTGCACTAAAAACTCTTCTCCATCGTAATCTAGAGACGTACAGAGTTGATATTCGGCACATCAATAGCATTATCGTTGACTACAAAATGAACGCAAATCGTTAACCTTGACCTTCATTCAAGATCACAGGTGTCAAATGATAAAAATCAAATTACAGTTCAAAATTCTTCAAAACATTCAATGATTCAAAACATTTTTAAGAGTACATCCTTATAAGGATATTCGTAAAGTATCAAGGTCACAGCATTATGTTGCATGTAAATAAACATGTGAAACCTACAATAAACGCTTAAAAGGTCAGATGATTGTTGAAGGAATGGTCAATGTATTTTCTACAAGCTGTACAAAGGGGAATAACTCTTTCAGATTCAGACTCGTTGAGACTTCATAACATCCACATATAGGGGTTGGGAGTGGAGGGAATATAGAAGCACTAAACAGCTTTCTATCAATGCTGACCGTTCAGAATTAACCTGACCCTATGATATGAATAAGGTACAAGGTTTGTCAAAGAAGAGAAGCGAAGGGAAACGAAGGGAAACGTATAAAAGCGACCGTCAGTCCGAGAACATATTTAGATCATTTTTTTGATGGTAATCCCGTGTTTTGATCTCGATCAAATCTAGTATTGTCGTTGTATTGTGTCGGCTGCTATCAGCCATCAAAGTTATCAATATAGATACAATATATAGAATAAAAACATATTTTTTTCAGATCGTCCGCTAGGCCCTTCTGTCTTTTAGGGCTTCTTCAGGCGGATTATATATATATATATATATATTCATGCACTGTAGGACATTTTTATCAGACGATGGCGATAACATCACGGAACCAAACACGCATTTCACTCTCTCTAAGTATTGTACTACATGTGTTATCACAGTGTGTGTGTAAGCCTTATAAGGCGTAGAACGCGGAGTGACTAAAACAAGGCGACAGGTGTCCAATATTTACATGTCCAATAAATATGTTGGCAGCTGCATTTAGCGACTCTGTGGGCGATGTACCGAGCGTAGAGGCCATGAAGCGGGCGATGTAACAGATGATGAACTGCATGACTTCTAAGTAATAAAGGACAGACACTGTCGTACTGAAAAACACCACCACTGTCAGCGCCTGTAGACAGACCAAATACACAGCGCTTTTAGACAAAAACAGTCTGAATCAGAAAGGAGAATTCATGATGAAAAGCAATTAGTTGTAAAATATAGATTTTGGTTACGTCACAGACGGTACAGTGTCTCGTGGCTTGTAAGAGATCAAAGAGGATTTAATCCACATAAGCTAAAAATCAGCAGGGAAGACGATGATTAAAATTTCGTAGAGCAGACAAACATCTATATATATTCTTGTTACCAATTATATGCTTATTCGCAGTTAAAATGTATCAGTCTGTTCGAAATACAAAAAAACGCCATTAATGTGAATTTTTTCCTAGATTCAAAACAGCGGAATTGTTGGCTGAAAGTGACCAAGCGACATCAGCTGACAAACGGGGTTTACATGACATTCTTTTCGAAATATCAAGCTTTACATTGTCTACAGAACGTTTTATCGAATCAACATACTCACATATCAAAAATAATTACAAAGAAACTAACCAAAGACGATCGCATGATTAACATAGTGGACATCTATTTGTGTATCATTATCTATTTGTTTTGTTTTTAACCCCATTGCATATTATCCATTTAACCCTCACACGAAAGAACACGATTTGTCATTTTAAACATGTATTTAACAATATCATAATTGTATGCCTTTAAAAAAAAAAAAAAAAAAAATATCCCCGTCAAAAAAAAGTTTTTTTCCTAGATTTGTGATTGAAACCGATCCTCTCCACTAAATGATGCTGTCTGTTAAAAAATATTATTTTATTTTAGGAAAAAACAAGTTTTGCATTGGTTGCTGCTATTTAACTTTCCTGAAGAAAACTTGACATGGAAACCTCGAGATGACAATACAATCGCCGTCGATAAGGCTATACGATAAGCGCATGCACATTTAGTTGTAATACATGAACGAAATCACTATCAGATGACCAACTAATAAACGTTACGTTGCCGAATCAAATAAAAAAAAAAAAAAACCAACACATTATCCATTTTTTAAAAATTCATTAGAAAGATGAGTGCTGACAATTTCTATATAAACAGTAAGACAGAAATACCTTCACTTGTGATTTCTATCGATAATTTTGATAACTTTAAACATGTATTTTGACCATCAGTCCAAAGATATTGAAAGACACATCAATACAGCAACATATTACCGAAATAAGAAATAGCTTACTTTGAATGCAAAAAAGTGGTCAGTGTACTTTTCTCCGAAAACGAACATCGAACCTTCGTCAGTATAGGATAGAAACTCATAAACGCGCTCGCCTAGCCATTTAAATGCCTGAAACCCAAACCGACAACGAAGGATAAGCAGGGCAAACAGGAACTGGAGGGCCAAACCCCAGAATACAGGGCGCCACTTCACCTAAAAAAGAAACAGAAATTAAGAACAATTTTTACATGTAGCTGAATAAACAAATAATTCATCAAAATATTATAGTTAAAGTATTTTTATTTTCAATTTAATGTTCATTGCACACGGGGCCGCGATGGTCACGTGGTAAAGGTGTTTGACAGTCTGGAATCAGTGGTCGCGGGTTGGAGGCCTACGTGGGGCAGTTGCCAGAAACTGGCCGCTGGTCAGTGGTTTGTCTCCACCACCAACACCTGTCAGGTCTTAAAACACTTACAAACCAAACAAAACCAATCCATAGATCACAAGTTATCCAAGTATCACAAGTTATATATGTAGTAAAGAAACGGATTTTGGATTCTAAGCATGATAAAGAAATTATTGCATATGAAGGTATTATACAAAGCCAGATCATACTTATAAATAACTGTCTTTAAATGTGGCTTTCAATGATTGGCGTTGACCATTCGCGTATTAAAGATATTCAACATGTACACCACAAGCTATAGCCACAACGCTTACCCCCGATGGATCATGAGAAAAGACGAAAAAGGTGACCACGAAGAACAACACTCCAGTCAGTGATGTGAGGTTTCTTGGAGTTTCCATGGCGATGTCCATTATTATATAGATGACAATAAACAAGGCGGTACCAATGACAACAGGCATCCGAAGACTGAAGATAAAATATAAGGCAACTTCTTCAACGGTTTGTTTAAAAATTTATAACAATTTAGTGTTTTGTATAGGTAGCATCTTTTTACAAAACGTTATCAATGTACATATGTATGCACCATTGCTTCGATATTTTTATCGTAAAACTTTCGTTCAAATTACATTAAAATGTACCGTCATGTTTTTTTGGGTGGGTTTACTCTCTAACAATTTACCGACAATATAAACTGTTATCGATGACTTTCAAACTCCATAATACATACGAGGGAAAAATTTAAATACTGGAACACGTATATTTTCATTTTTCTTACTATTAAGAAAATCTTCAATATTTCAAGTTTACTTCAATGGAACATTACGCTGTACCTGTCATCTTCATACTGCGTGTCCAAAGAATTACTCAATTCACGATGTCATTGTTATATATAGACTATGCTTAAATGAATTGCCTAACTTACGCATCCAACATTCTCTGTGACTTTTTCCTGTCCATACAGAAACCCAAATAGTTGCAGTTGTCGGCTACGGAATCAAAGTATCTGTAGGTATATTTCGCTGCAAAGAATGCGGCGACCAGTACGGTACAAACAAGGAGCCGAATCGAACCTTCATCCCCAAACCTGTGAAGCATTGCGTAACAGAAGTACACGAAGTATGCCATCGTCATTAACGTATAGACGATCCTCCAACACAAGCTGTGCCACTTCCGGTACAGATCAGCAATGGCGGACTGGATGGCTTTGATACGGGATATTCTAGGTCCTGGTGTTTGTCTTTGGGAGCCTGGGCTCTCAATAGTCACGTTCGTCTCCTGCCACAAAAAAAAGTTCATTCATCAAAGAGTTATATAGAAATAGCAGAGTGTCACAAATGACAAAGGTATGCGTTTCGATTGGTTGGTTGGTTGGTTGGTTGAAGGGTTTTTCGCCTACATGATTCCGCCCTTACGGGTTTCATCTCACTGACGGAAGACGGTGTTCTGTCGGCGTTCTGTGCGTTTCGAGATTCCCTTGGCACTTTATACACTGTACAAGCGGAAAAGGACCTGTTTGTATACCAGGTATTGTAAATGGAATTATATTTGTGATGATAATAATTGTATTGTTTTTAGCGATAACTCGATGTGCAAAGTCGTGAAATATTTCACGAGTTGGGTGAATGTTTTGATACTTTCGACGAGTGCGCATTAAAAAAATATATAAAAAAGCTCATGGGTGAAACGTAGCTGTTATTCATAACAAAAAAATATGTTTATAAGAATATTTTTTTATACAGTGTTTGTAACATCAGCTTGCCTGACCAAATGATCCATCTCAAAACAGAAAAATAAATCGAGACTAGATATGCTGTTTTTCGATGTCAATGCTGCTGATACCTGCTCTCTAGTTGGTCGGTTTAGTGTGGCAATAATAAAAGGGTGCCATTTGTATAGTAGAAATATTATTTCTTCCATATTTATCCAGACAATTATAACTTGTGGGTCCTTTTAGGGCGTTAGGACATTTAATAAATAATTCCTAATGACGTTACTGAAACAGATACAAATCATTATCAATAGTGTAGAGGATAAACTGTTTTGATATCAACAGGTCCAGAGTTTAAATACATGAGGTGCTATTTGTCTTTGGCATATACATTTCTATGAAATAGGGAAGTAATTTAAAAAAATACCGAATCCATTGGAACTCGCCGGTAAGGGAAGTATGGAGTGCCTATGTAGGTTTTTGACAGTGTGTTTTATCCAGTGTTAATTTCAATATTTACAACAGTATTGATAATGATGCGGGGTTAAGATTAAACATTAAACATAGTTGCTGGTGCTTCTCATATTAACCGTGTAAACGTGGTCTTCATATACTCTTACATTTCCTTTACAAATACAAAAATGTAGCAAGACTTTGGTCATATTTTGTTTAAGCTAACAGACCAGACTACAATTTTAACTTCAAGTTAACTTTGGCATATTCTGTAAAAAAAAACCACACACCTCAATTAATGTATTACAGGCATTCGCTTGTCTGATTCGAAATTGACTGTAGGTTCGAAGAACAAATGGTTTTAATATATCTTAGTGAATGCAATAAGTGGTGATTGATGTGGGGTAACTGCAGGATCCGGAGTTGTTTCTTCTCCTGCATTTATCTTATTGGACACTAGAGAAATGAAAAACAGACCTGCGGTATTCCGCTACATGTGTATCGTTAGAAACGATTAATGATTTGGAACCCATGACAGATAGGATTCTTGTTCGTTGTCGCCTTCTTGGAAAACATTAAAGAAACCAAACTAGATGTGCTGTCCCTACTGAAGCACTTGGATCTCTATCTTAACCTGCCCTATACCTTATCGTTACCTACCCTACCTTATCGTTACCTACCCTACCTTATCGTTACCTACCTTACCTTATCGTCCTACCTTATCGTTAACTATCCTACATTATCGTTACCTACCCTACCATATCGTTACCTACCCTACCTTAACGTTACCTACCCTACCTTATCGTTACCTACCATACCTTATCGTTAACTATCCTACCTTATCGTTACCTACCCTCCCATATCGTTACCTCCCCTACCTTAACGTTACCTACCCTACCTTATCGTTAACTAACTAACCTTATCGTTACCTACCCTACCTTATCGTTTACCTACCCTACCTTATCGTTAACTACCCTACCTTATCGTTAACTACCCAACCTTATCGTTACCTACCCTACCTTATCGTTTACCTACCCTACCTTATCGTTAACTACCCTTCCTTATCTTTACCTACGCTACCTTATCGTTACCTACCCTACCTTATCGCTACCTACCCTACCTTATCGTTACCTACCCTACCCTATCGTTACTTACCCTACCTTCTCGTTACCTACCCTACCTTATCATTAACTAACCAACCTTATCGTTACCTACCCTGCCTTATCGTTACCTACCCTACCTTATCGTTACTTACCCTACCTTCTCGTTACCTACCCTACCTTATCGTTAACTACCCTCCCTTATCGTTACCTCCCCTACCTTTAGTTAACTATCCTACCTTATCGTTAACTACCCAACCTTATCGTTACCTCCCCTACCTTATCGTTCCCTACCCTACCTTATCGTTAACTACCCTACCTTATCGTTAACTACCCTACCTTATCGTTTCCTCCCCTACCTTATCGTTACCTACCCTACCTTATCTTTACCTTCCCTACCTTATCGTTACCTACCCTACCTTATAGTTACCTACCTTACCTTATCGTCCTACCTTATCGTTAACTATCCTACATTATCGTTCCCTACCCTACCATATCGTTACCTACCCTACCTTAACGTTACCTACCCTCCCTTATCGTTAACTACCCTACCTTATCGTTAACTACCCTACCTTTAGGTAACTATCCTACCTTATCGTTACCTACCCTACCATATCGTTACCTACCCTACCTTAACGTTACCTACCCTACCTTATCGTTAACTAACCTACCTTATCGTTACCTACCCTACCTTCTCGTTACCTACCCTACCTTATCATTAACTAACCAACCTTATCGTTACCTACCCTGCCTTATCGTTACCTACCCTACCTTATCGTTACCTTCCCTACCTTATCGTTACCTACCCTACCTTATCGCTACCTACCCTACCTTATCGTTACCTACCCTACCCTATCGTTACTTACCCTACCTTCTCGTTACCTACCCTACCTTATCATTAACTAACCAACCTTATCGTTACCTACCCTGCCTTATCGTTACCTACCCTACCTTATCGTTAGCTACCCTACCTTATCGTTACCTACCCTACCTACCCTACCTTTAGTTAACTATCCTACCTTATCGTTACCTACCCTACCATATCGTTACCTACCCTACCTTATCGTTAACTCCCCTACCTTATCGTTACCTACCCTACCTTTAGTTAACTATCCTACCTTATCGTTAACTACCCAACCTTATCGTTAACTACCCTACATTATCGTTACCTACCCTACCTTATCGTTACCTCCCCTACCTTATCGTTACCTACCCTACCTTATCGTTACCTACCCTACCTTTAGTTAACTATCCTACCTTATCGTTACCTACCCTACCATATCGTTACCTACCCTACCTTATCGTTACCTACCCTACCTTATCGTTAACTACCCTACCTTATCGTTACCTACCCTACCTTATCGTTACCTACCCTACCTTATCGTTACCTACCCTACCTTATCGTTACCTACCCTACCTTATCGTTACCTACCCTACCTTATCGTTACCTACCCTACCTTATCGTTACCTACCCTACCTTATCGTTACCTACCCTACCTTATCGTTACCTACCCTACCTTATCGTTACCTACCCTACCTTATCGTTACCTACCCTACCTTATCGTTACCTACCCTACCTTATCGTTACCTACCCTACCTTATCGTTACCTACCCTACCTTATCGTTACCTACCCTACCTTATCGTTACCTACCCTACCTTATCGTTACCTACCCTACCTTATCGTTACCTACCCTACCTTATCGTTACCTACCCTACCTTATCGTTACCTACCCTACCTTATCGTTACCTACCCTACCTTATCGTTACCTACCCTACCTTATCGTTACCTACCCTACCTTATCGTTACCTACCCTACCTTATCGTTACCTACCCTACCTTATCGTTACCTACCCTACCTTATCGTTACCTACCCTACCTTATCGTTACCTACCCTACCTTATCGTTACCTACCCTACCTTATCGTTACCTACCCTACCTTATCGTTACCTACCCTACCTTATCGTTACCTACCCTACCTTATCGTTACCTACCCTACCTTATCGTTACCTACCCTACCTTATCGTTACCTACCCTACCTTATCGTTACCTACCCTACCTTATCGTTACCTACCCTACCTTATCGTTACCTACCCTACCTTATCGTTACCTACCCTACCTTATCGTTACCTACCCTACCTTATCGTTACCTACCCTACCTTATCGTTACCTACCCTACCTTATCGTTACCTACCCTACCTTATCGTTACCTACCCTACCTTATCGTTACCTACCCTACCTTATCGTTACCTACCCTACCTTATCGTTACCTACCCTACCTTATCGTTACCTACCCTACCTTATCGTTACCTACCCTACCTTATCGTTACCTACCCTACCTTATCGTTACCTACCCTACCTTATCGTTACCTACCCTACCTTATCGTTACCTACCCTACCTTATCGTTACCTACCCTACCTTATCGTTACCTACCCTACCTTATCGTTACCTACCCTACCTTATCGTTACCTACCCTACCTTATCGTTACCTACCCTACCTTATCGTTACCTACCCTACCTTATCGTTACCTACCCTACCTTATCGTTACCTACCCTACCTTATCGTTACCTACCCTACCTTATCGTTACCTACCCTACCTTATCGTTACCTACCCTACCTTATCGTTACCTACCCTACCTTATCGTTACCTACCCTACCTTATCGTTACCTACCCTACCTTATCGTTACCTACCCTACCTTATCGTTACCTACCCTACCTTATCGTTACCTACCCTACCTTA